AAACGAAGTTAAAAAATGAAGACAAATGCATTACGCTTTTTTCAGGGAGTGATCAGCGCCGAGAGCTTCGGTTTTTATCCCTTTTATCGCCACTGATGACTGAAGATGGGGTCATCACTACACCTCGCCAAGATATGAAATTGAATACTGAAAAATTCTGTACAAACATTTTGCGTTCTACATCCCCGTCTCGGCTCTGAAATCCTCATTGATGAGAACTCTCACTCGAGATTCGATCCTCTGAAGTACGAAATGCGATTAAAACCATGAAGGGAGACATGCTCCACGGTTTGATAACATCACCACCGAATTCCTTAGAGCTGGTGGCTGCAATCTACATGTGCTTCTCGTAAGACATGACATCATACCTTCAGAAAGAAAGAATTTCAGGCAGTGCAGAACATTGCGCACAGTCATCCTACCTAGGAAAGGTGACAAGAGCAATCCTCGCAACCGTCGTCCAATATGCAACTACAAACTTGTTGAGTATTCTCTACGAGCTTTCCAAGAACATCTACATCATTCTTTTGGACGAATCGAACACCTTGAATGAAGCTCAGCTAAATGGGCAAGCAGGATTCCGAAAGGGATTCTGATGCATGGACCATATTTGAACCGTCCCACGAATCATTGAATTCTATTGTGATTACCATGTGCTTCTTGTCCTGACTTTATTGACTATGAGGAAGCTTTTGAAGCGTCGAAACTAATGCAATGGTGCTAACGCTCGTCAACCATGGTATAGACCCGTCCCATATACTGATGTTAGTTGACCGAATCAATTTTCTAACAAAAATACGGCTTTTCGGAGGCCCTTCACCATACCATCGAAAAAAAGCTTGGCAAGGCGACACTTTATCGCTAAAGCTATCCACTGCCGCAACACAATGGATAATGAAGTCGCTCGATGGACGAGAAAGACATACGTATTGATTGGAAATTTTTATCAAACATTGGTTTCGCGGATAGCATCGTTATCTTTTCGTAAAGTACCAATGAAGCTAAAACGATGCTCAATGAACTCAACGAAGCGGCAAAAAGGATTGGGCTACGCATAACAGGACGAACACCTAGTTCATGTGCGAAGGTGAGCAAATCGAGCTGAATGGCTCTGTGATTACGGAGACCACCTCTAGGGTGTACCTTGAACGTTGAATGAACATAAATAACAACATGTAGGGGGAATGAGACAAAAGTAGGAGAGCAGCATGGGCCGCATTTGGACACCTCAGAGAAACCGCCGACCAAAAGCGGACTCCAATCTCCGTGCTCACCTTTTCGACAGAACAGTCCTTCCAGTGCCGTGTTATCTAGCAAAGAGTGCGCTGGTACTTCAACCATGTCAAGAAATATTCGCACTACTCACAGGTCGCTCGAACGATGTCTTCTCAAGCTTAGTCGGTACTCGCAGTATCTAGGGCTTGCGCAGCTCACATTTTCGAAACCTATCCGACCTTCTTGATATAGAATTATTTATTTTGATAACGAAACAGAGATGAACCTCTTACCTAATAAGAGGAACAGATGACAAATGGCTAAAAGAAACGTGGAGTGGATCCAAATGCAAACGCCTTCTTAGAAGACCACGCAAACGATGAGCGAAAGTGTTCGCGGCTAACGTCAACCATCTGCATCCACCAATCGCAACGTGTTTAGGATCACGATGGGTCTTACGCATGTCATCATGCTAGAAATAGACCACCACCATGGACGACAAGTGCGCCAGAGATCAACGAAGGGGAACTGCGCTAGAGCCCGCACTTCCACCAAAGGCGGACTGTTCATATATTTTGATGACCCGTCATCACAATCTACTGTACAGATAAAGCACCTCTTACATTCATTCCTTGCATTCATCCTCTATTGCGTTCTTCAAGCATCTCGCACCTTTTTTTGGCTCCTCTTTGAGGATTTCGCCTTGTTTATGATTGTCGTGGAGTGTTAGTAGAGACAATTCTCCCTGCAATCCTGGGGTGGCCGAGCTGAAACGCCCCTTAAGACATTCGTTGGTTGACTGCAAGAGCGTTGAAGAGGGATCAAACCAGCGCCTTGTTTATCGTCTTGCTTCCTGATGAACTGCATTACTAACCGCTGTGCTACCCCGTTCTCATATATATAAGCATATGCATATGCATATGTATATATATATATATATATATATAAAAGGATAAAAGGTTAAAGCTCTCTTCGTTAATCAATCTCTGATGGATGCGCCTTGCATTCGCCTGCAATTTCTAACTTCGTTTGAAATGATTAAATGCGAATCTGGCATTTACACTGACTCGCGGTGGCCTCCCGCTGTATCGAGTCAGGGCTGCATATCCTTTCAGACAAGTCTGAGACCAGTCTGAAACCAATTTACCGACCCCGGAGGATGAATGGCTTAGTGAGCCACGCGCGCGAGAACGAACCATCGATCTCGTGTACGACGCAGAGCACTTCTAATCACTGCGCCTCATGCGCTCTGTATAAGTATATGTACATATATATATATATATATATATATTAATGGATGAATATGTAATAAAGTATGTGCGTATGCAAGTGTAGTGAGTACGCTTTTGTGTATTTGTGCTAGTGTAAGTCTACGTGTGCATGGTGTATGTGTGCGTGAACATGCATTTTCGGGTATTTATGTATGCGACTCTGTCCATATGCTTTATGTGCATGTATATATGTTTCTAAACAGACATAGACATGGATGTGTATGTTCATGTTCATCGTTGCTTCATTCTCCTACCAGCTTACGCTGAGATACCATGGGTCGATGGCCATTGGCGGAATAATTCATTGCATATTTACTCGTTTAGGGCGATAGCACACACAGGAAACCAAGTGAGTAGCGGAGACACTAGCATTCATGGAACGAGTTTAGCACGACTTTGAGGCAGCAAAAACGCCGTCATTGTCCCCCTACAATGCTAAGTGATCGTCGTCGTCGTCGTCCTGCTCGTGACGTGTCAGTAATTACTAACACAGAACAGTAAATTTTGACATCTAAATTATGCATGTTCCTGACTTACGTGCGCTAGCTATTATGAATGAATAACATGTTACCATACTCACCAGAGTCGTTCATTCTCAAGTTGTGATTTATCATTTATATGAGGCGATTTTACGTATTCTCTTGAGCTACACGTTCCTCTATCCGACTCCTTGCTTTGCATTTGCTAACTGCGAAACTCTTCAGAGTTCTACTGAGTTCAATTTCCATAAAAAAAAATTCGTCTTCTTCATGTCTTTGATTGATGACGTGAGTTAGTTCTCTTTGGAATCATAGGGTAACTATCGCAGATCATTCGCAGATCTTCAAATCAGGAAGTCGTCAGATTTGTTCGATCAAAGGAACTTTCCCCACTCAAGTCTGATTTTACCTTAGTTATAGAAAGCTTGACTTCAGATGAGTTTCAAATAGTAAGCAGTACATTACTTCATAAACAATAGGGTTAGTGAGAGTCATATTATGATTTGTGGTCAGAAGGGAGTTATTGGTGATATAAGATGGTCGAATATGAAGTTAAGATACTAAAAAGTAGGGAAGCTTTGACAAAAGAAAGTGATTTGGTACTGAACTGACCTGTTTACACGAGAAATGACAAGAATGTCAGTACAATTACATTTAACAAACATGCTACTGGTAGAATGTTTTCCCCGAACTTCCAAGAAACCAAACCTTGAGGATCCCACATCGTCCTGTTTTGAGTTGTCGCCCACCCACATTAACTGGAAACTTAATTAATACCTTGCGCTTAATTTCTTCCAAAATGGCTGTGATTTTTCTAACGACCACTGCAACCTAGATGAAATGTTTTGAAAAAAAAATTTTGCTGAGATGAGTCTTTCTTTTTTTTTCTTCTTTAATTACACTTTATGAGTTTTATCGATATTTATATTATTAATAGCTTTCAAAAATAAGCCTTACAATTTTCATATTTTTGAAAGCTAGATTCTTTATCTTCTGAATGTTTTCAAACGCCACTTTCTTTTCCATTTTCTGATGGCATTGGTCGACTGAATCACACATCTGCTAAATTTTTCAGCGCATCAAGTTCACGAGGTCATACCGTCATTTCCAATTTAAAATTCATTTTTTCTTGATCTATTATTCATCACGGCCTTTTCTCAGTATTTCTCTTCCGTAAAGCTCTTTATTTATCAAATCTGTCCGTCTTATTTCACATCTCTCTAGATTTCATTCTAAACTATGACAGATCTGCGACGTTCTTTCTTCCCTTATTCAATTCTTCTTCTTACTGAACTGGCCAGGAAAACCTACTCTAAAATCGTGTACTTGCTTTCTTTTTTCAATTTTAGCTATTTTTCAAAAATTTCAAATTATTTCAGAACATGTTGTAGTTAACATTGTATTTCTTATCTTAATTTCAGTCATTTGTTTTATATAGAGTGCGGAAACGATTAAATAGCTAAAAAAGGATTTGTTGATTAATCGTTGATTTAACCACTCAATTAATCAAAATGAGACGTTCTATCAAATTGGCTTTTTACGACTGTAATTCTACTCGTTCTCTTCCTATATTGCTTTTTTTGCTTTTTCCACCATTTTATGATGATTACTTAACATAGTGAATCAAAAAAACTGTATGTTAAATTCATAGGCAAATAAATTGAATTGGAATAAGCTCATCGTGAATTTTTGAAGATTTTTTGATATGAGAATGATTGGAATCTACAGACCTGCCTCGATAAGATATTATCATTTTAACTTCAACAAGGGTTAAGTTTTGTTTATTTCAAGACTATAAAAATTTTAATCTCATCGGCACCGGCATTTTTAATAGCACAGCAATTGTACAACCGAGATTTCTTAGAACAGGATGCGATAGTGGTCTCCAATATATCATTATGTCTGTAACTGTTGTAGTTACGATGAAAAAGTTACTAATTAGGGGGTGTTTTTGCAGATTTCCATATGGCGTGACTGACTTCAAGCACATATGAAATCAAATATACCATTACTGCAGAGTGATGTGCAAAACTATCTCGTCAGGCGAGACTCGAACCCACATCTCATCTATCCGGGAGAGCGTGCTTTAACCCGTTGCACTACTGACGCCCATTGTGCACATCACTCTTTTGACGCTACAACGCCTGTATCTGTCAGCTGCCAATCGTCAGCGCCTGTCTCAGGTAGTTGGTATCGATAGGTAGAGTCCCGCTCCCGCATGGAATGAGACGTGGGTTCGAGTCCCGTCTGACGCGAAAGTTTTGCACATCACTCTGCCCCACTGGGTATATTTGGAACATCATAACACCGCAGAAAGCGGTTACTTAGAGATTTCTATTTGATCTCAAGATCAACTAGTTATTTGAAATAATATTCACGTCAGGAACGACATAGCACAATCTCATGTATGAGCCCTGTTATGTTTCCAAGCTTCCAGGTAGTGAAAAAAATTTATCGCCAGTCCTTGAGAGACCGCCGCAGACATGTTAATCAGGTAAATAAGTGTAAGCAGAGCATCTTCATTAGGCATTGAACGAAACAAAATCGTCGGAAAATCGTCCACAAACCGAACTCCACCATATGTTGTGTACGACGCCTACCTATGTACGATCAACTTTACACACAGTAATCGTTTTACGCTCTAATTCCGTGCGAGGCATTAGCTGTTCGGTGTTCATCGGTGATCCCGAGGGATTCCCGATGGAGGAATTCCGTTGGAAAAGGCTATGGAAAGGCCGTTTGTATTGGCTGTTGTTCGTCACATCGTCAATCTCTTCCCTCACTACCCTCCATTCCATTCATCCACACCCTCTTGTTCGACAAGTGGCCAGACGCGGCCCCAATTATGCTCACGGTTTTGCTTCATAATCTTTTTATACAATACAACTAGAGAAACAATGACGCTAAATGCCTTGAAGAACCAATATCGCTTTCTCTTCTTATTTATTTTTTTCTATTCTTATTTTACCTGAAACTGTCTTATCACAATGAATATCCCGCATATGTGGAGCGATGATTGTTTGGATAGTTATGCTATAGGGAAACTATGTGTACTTGAGGTTTTACCTCAACATCTACACTTTTTATGCTTTTATGCTTTTTTGTCACTTGTCATTGACAGCTGATTATTCTCGTTGTTATCACTGTGGTAAGAGACAATGCAGAAAAGTTTCAGTTCTTTCAGTTTCATTTGAGATACATTGTTAGTGTTTTTATCCCTAAGAGAACTCGTCCATTTTGCTAGGATAAGAGGTATCGATCGACTTATTGTTTTGCATTCAAGTCATGGCAATGACGAGGGATTGCTGTCAGCAGCTTTTAGAAATTGATGGGGAAGAAAGGAAAGCCGTTATTCTCTATAGGTGAGAGAGAGAGAGAGGAGTACTCTATAGTTTAACACTGTCAATGGACGCATTTGTAGTATTTTTCTTTCCAAATGAAGATTTTCGTCACTGAATGCACCATTGAGAAGATAAATAATGAATAATGATGCACGAAGAATCTATAAATCAACAATCGACCCAAATCATCGCATTTTTAGGATGCATTTTCTTATTTGCTATTGGAAGTTTCACTCAAATTGTTTCCTCTATAACATCGTCGAGATAGTGAAAAATAAACCAGAAAGTCAGAGAGTCGCTAAATTCGAAGATTTGAAGGGATTTTTCTAGACAACATTGGTGTGATAGAGAGACGAATGAATAAGCGAACATTACTTGTTCAGTATATCATTATTGTTTAGTAATAAGTCTCTCGTGGTTCACGACAAATTCAGTTTATCTTCAAAATGGAAAGTACAAAGCTACTGTAACGGATTCACCTAAAAAATTTGGGATCATCACTTTCCAGTCATTGTGATTACTAAATTCACATATTCACAAAGAACGAGTGCACAAGAAGCACAATGTTGCTATGAATTTGAATTTCGTTCTAAACTAGTGGACAGCGTTCATTATAATTTAATTTATTCAAATATTAGTCTCCTCCATATGTGCTCTAACTTCTTCCTCTCTTCCTATACTTCATTGTCAGCCTCATGAAAGCCTCTCGTTCAAATGCAGGTGTTCACACATTGGATTGTTCGTTGTCATCCGACAAATATAGAACATGTCGTAAACCAGAGAATATACGAGAAACTCGTCTAAGACCTATTAACTTCTGTGCTAGGTGCCTGGGAGAAGAGACTATGCTAACGAGGCGTGAATCAACTCCTCTGCCCATGGTAAGGCGATATCTCTTTAAACACCAAAAACTTCGGGGTTCAACACTTTATTAAGGGACTTCGAACGAAAAATATGGTATTGTGGTGTATATCGTGCAAGATACTGGAGCTCAGTGAGCAGTTTGACGTTCAAGATTGATGGAGAGTTTCCAAACTTTAAAACTATTTCAACTATAGATGTGGCATGACTGATAAGAACATCTCGTGGTGATACCACTGAGAATTTGAACAAGGTGTTTCAAAAAATGTCCTATGCGTTATAAGAGTTACATGATTGGAGAGACCGACTCTCTGTTAACCTCGGCATCAAAGCTAATTTTAATTTGACTATGAATACTTAACTGTTTTGGCTGGCGCGGTTGGTAGACGACAATGTCGTCGTCGTCGTTATACTGCGATCTAAAGTCAGCAATCAACAACAACGACAACAACAACGTCGCCTATCACCCTCACGCCAGCTAAAACAGCTACGTGTTCATAGTTACATGATTGTGAACGGAAATTCTTGCGCATCCTTTCTATTGGCATTCTCCTTAAGAAAAAAGAAACTAAAGGTTATCGTTTCTGTCCAGCTTGTCCTCGACGGATTTGTCCGTGATACTTAAAATTGCTCTTTTAAGCCCTATGCGTGTTTTAATATATGATGTTGTGCAGCTTTTCCACCTATCAGAATTCCTAACAAGTGCTGACTTAATGCGAAGTGACCAAATGCGAATGTGTTGGTGTACCAATTCATGACAATTTTCTGGATAACTTCGCATCAAGCTCACTTTAGTCGGTCTATGGAGTAGTAGAATGTGAATGAGGCCATAAATGACAGTATGAAATAGGAATTTTTTGAAAGCGTGATGCACATAGTGCATAGGATATCATGTGAATGAACGTCTCCCACAATCATTCCGGAGACTCGACTGTCACCAGTACTTTTTATATCACCTCACGAGCGAGTAGCGGAGGAAAGCGATGCCCGTTATCCCGAGCGCGGGAGTCTCATCTTACCTTGGGCGAAAGATTGGTGCCAGACTTCTCTGGGCCCAACTCACTCATTCAAATTCATCCAGAATCGCTCTTGCACAGTTATATCAGGATTCGAGGAAGAATCGACTCGGCTATCAATCAGAATCGTTCTCAAAGATGACGACGTTCGTCTAAACTAGCTAAATCTTCATCTCAAAATTCAAAGACCTCAATGGACGATGAATTCGAAGAAACGAAAAGAATACACGTACTAGAATTCTCACAATAAATTTGAAGATAGATCGTCAAAATTAAAGCAATAATGAATTCATGGGCTCATGCAGGAATTTCACTATTAAGACTTGATTGTGGCTGACGTTTCACCTACTTTACCTTCTTTGGAGCCGCAATGGGATCATATCGAATGTTCACGGCAGTTATACCTTCTCTTTTCTTTTTTTTTTGGTTTATTGTTCTGTGTTTTTTTTCTTTGTTCTGTTGTTTTCCCTCGTTTTCTTTTACTATTTTCTTCCTCGAATTCTTTCTTTCTTGTTTCTCCTTGCTTGTTTCTTTTGTTTAAAAAAGCTGCTATCAGTGTTTCCGACAAAAAGAAAAGTAAGCGAAAGAGCAAGTGATAGACATGTCGCTGGCTGTCTACATTATGTTAGCGTTTTAGTTGATGATACTCACCGGTCTCGTTAAATATGATGGTAGTAAACCATTGATATGAATCAGCTCTCATTCATTCCCACGACATTCATACATGAAAATCAACAATAGTGGTTATAAAGTACTTTACGTCAGCAGCACCATCACAAGTGATATAGATAAGAAATTAGGAACAAAGCTCTTTACGTTGGGCAATCCTTTAGGGATGGCTTGAGGTGACTGAGTGCATATCGGTCCTTTACAATGACTCGTTGTGGCCTATCGGTGTATCAAGTCGGAGCTGCTTTTCTTTTAGACAAATCTGGCACCAATTTACCAACACCGGAACGATGGGAAACTTGATGAACCATGAGCGCGGGATCAAACCATCGACCATGTGAGCGACGTTGTTAAGGATAAACAGACACTTAGACACTTCACTGATCGGTCTTCACAGTGTTTTTTTTATACTATTAGGATCTTGTTACTTCTAGCATTAAAGTCGTTTTTTCGTCTTCTTCTTGAACGTCTCAGAACACTGATTGCGAGTCTCCTTGCCAATCTCGAGGATAGCTTGATTGTGGCGTTCCATAAGACGTTGTTATTCACTGCCTGAGAGGTTGAGACTGAAGCTCGACTCCACGCGCGCCGCGATGAGCATCACAACCACTCGACCACCGTTAGCGCCAACAGTAGTGATAATATTATTATTTTGACAAACTAAAGAGAAGTTCACTAACATTCACAAAACGAGCAGTACATGCAAACTTTCAATTTGTGTTTAGCACCTTGTTTCCCATTCTGTGGTGGGAACGAGTCATCTAGCTTGTCAACTGTGCCTATTAACCCTCAGTGACTTAAGTTCGTGAATTGGAATACGTTAATGGTGAGGTTCATTTCAATAAGGACAATAATAGTAATAACAAGAATAAGATTAGGAAAATGTCGGATTATGGTATGCAGAGCTCAATTGATCAGTTGTGGTCAGAAGCGAATTATAGTCGTACCTGCCTAATCCGCCAGCCAATATCAGATCTATTAACATCGAAGCAATGTGCTAAATCCAAAGCACTCAAATTCAATTGTCTCTATCGATGTTATTGAATTGCTAAACGAGACAGAGATGTCGGCAAATCTCATAAATAACGCCCAGTTGTTGTCTGTTTCGGCTGGAGCTCAAAATTGAACAACACACGTGTGGTAGTGGGATGCTAGTCAGTCGGGTCGTATCCTTTCACCAACATGCGAATCTCTTCCTAGACTAGATCCCAGCTGTTGCTTG